AGCTGCCGCAGGTATTGCGGGCCACTCCGGCGTTTTCCTGCCCGTTTGGGGAAGTCGCTGCCATCTAACACCCGAACCTGCATCCGGGGTTTTGTCCCAGCTTGTGGGCAAGTATTTCCTGCAACCGGCCTATGAATGGTCTCATCGTACCACCGGGCCTCGGTGAGAAAGCGGCTTGCTCGCCCTGGCGAGATGCCACCGATTCCGAGAGTTATCTGCGTTGCGCCGCTCATGGTCCTCAACAAGCGGTGAAGTAATCCCCGCTGTGCTCCCGCCCTGTTTGCGGCCGAAGGAGGCCGCAAAGAGGCCTGAATTCCTGAAGGCTGTGTAGACCAGCTCTAAGCTTCTCCGCATCCTCACCCAAACACCGCACTATCTGTCCACCATCTACCAGACAACCGTCGTTGTAGTAAGGTCCCTCCCACAAACGTCGCAAACCCAGCGAAGTCAGGCCGGCGATCCAATGCCCCAAAACCGCCCACACCACTGAACCCACCGCAGGGGCGCACAGCCGCCCTCCCCGACCCCATCCCGCCAGAGTCCCAAACCCCAGCGTGAATGCAGACGCGAGAATCCACTGCCAAAATTCGCCCGCCTGGCACCAATCGTAGCGGGAGGGTTCAACCGCCCCGATACACACTGCCCTCAGTCTCCGGCGCAGGCCGCGCACCCCAATCGTCGTCAGTCCGGACCCCCATCGTCATTCGCGGAAGAGCGGGAATCTCCAAAACGTCACACCCGCAAGAGCGAGGGACCGTCCCGGATTCACGCCCAACCCCAACCGTCACTCCTCCAGAAACTCGGTCACTCGCACCCGAATCGTCATTCCCAAACCCCCGAATCGTCATTCCCGCGGAAGCGGGAATCCAAACCCCCGTCACACCCGCAAGAGCAGGGGCCGGCTCTGAAATCCACGGCTCCAACCCTCTGGTCAAGGCCGCTCCAAAATTGCTGACACTTGCCCCTTTACAAGCCTCATGACACATCTCTAGCCTGAATACATCGATATGCAGAGTGCCCGTAGCGGCGGGCCGTGTGCTAGCCCAGGAATCCAAAGACCCGCTTTTTGACAGGAGAAAATAGTATGGTACGTCGCGGAGTCAGTCGCGCTCTGTCCGTCGCCAGTGGATTGCCCTACCTTAAGCGCAAATTCGCCCCCGAGCTCGCCATCATCCGGCTCAGCCGCGTCGCCAATGAGATCACCGAACTCTGGCACATCGCCATTGCAAACAAGCAGCCCAAACCCGACCCCTACTCCTGCGTCCGCAGGGTTGCCGACGCCGGCTTCCGGCTCAACACTTATATGGCCTTCGAGAAATACCTCCAGCGGTGCATCGACGATGATAGACGTCCTGTAATAAGGGGAATCATCACCACCCTGCTCCCCTGGTCCGCCAATTGTCCTTGGCTGAACAACCTGGAACGCAATATCCCCGGCACCGCCTGATCCCCTCTCCCGGTGGGCCTGCCACACCACGGGGCCGCCCTCAACGCTCGGAAATGACCGGAAATGAGCGGGAATAGCGAAATTTTCAGCACCCGACCGCCATCACCGTCGCTGCCCACGGTCACCCCCATCGCTACCAACCTTCATCACCGCCGCTGCCCACCGCCACCCCCGGCACCCAACCGCCATCCCCGCGAAAGCGGGGATCCAAACCCCCGTAACCCCGGCAGATGCCACCCAGGGCCACCCAAAACGACCGTAACCCACCCCAAACCCGAACAAGGAGGCTGACCAAATGCTCCAGAAACTCGCCCTCCGCTTGCCGGGACCACGGGGCCGCCACTCAACGTTCGGAAATGCTCGGAAATGATCGGGGATAGCAAATTTTTCCAACACCCAACCGTCATCCCCGCGATCTTTCGTCATCCCCGCGCACCCAACCGTCATCCCCGCGAAAGCGGGGGCCCAAACCCCCATAACCCACCCAATGACAGGAAATGTCAGGGAATGTCAGCGATTTCCATACCCCTGACACCAAGCAGACCCCAACCCGACAACCCAACCGCAACCCACACCGGAAGGAGGATCACACCCAACAGCCCTCAGCACCCAACCGTTCATCCACGAACTCAACCGCGCCCAACCGTTATTCCCGCGAAGGCGGGAATCCAAACCCCCGTCACACCCGCAAGAGCAAGGGTCGGTACCGAAATCCACGGCCCCAACACCTCTGTACAGGCCCGCAACCCAAAATTGCTGACAGTGGCCCCTTTACAAGCCTCATGACACATCTCTAGCCTGAATACATCGAAACACGACACACTCTGCGCCAGCGACCGCATGCGACAGGAGAAATGAACATCTACCGTCTCGGAACCACCCTCGCCTCCATCCGCAGCCAAGTGGATTCCCTCAAGCGCAAGTTCGCCACAGAACTGGCCGTAGTTCACTTGCGCCCCCTACGCCGACGAATACTGCGACCAGTGGGAGCAATCCGTGGCCGCGGTCCACACCCCGCCGGACCAAGTGGGCTCGTGCCCAGGCCTGTCGGCCTCATAACCTCCCGAAGATCCGCCTTTACTACGTCATAGCGGCAAAACATCGGCGCCCTGCCGTGAAAGATGACCCACCCAAATGCTCGGAAATGCTCGGAAATGAGCGGAAAATTAAAGTTCTTGGAGTCTGCATCCGCGTTGGCCGGAAGGGAGTGAGACTCTGTAGAACGGATGCTTGGCCACCCTCGACGGAACCTACTCACGCTGACCTACTTCTGGCGAGAGGCGGAACCATTCAAGGGTCCGCCTTGCCGAAGCCAGCCACTTCCGCTACTTTCGCCAGATCAACCCGGCAACGGAGGACGGACAATGCGAATCGCGGTAATGGGCGCGGGCAGCGTCGGCGGATACCTCGGCGGGATGCTGGCAAGGGGCGGGCACGAGTTGTCCCTGATTGTACGGGGCGCGCACCTGTCCGCGATTCGCGACCATGGCCTGAAGGTGGTTCGGGACCATGAGGAGTTTACGGTCAACTGCGCCGCCACCGACGAACCCAGGGACGTCGGCCCGGTTGAATTGGCCCTGCTCACCACCAAGACTTACCAGAACGGCGTCTCGGTCCCGGCTATGGCCCCGATGGTCGGCCCGGAGACGACTGTGCTGTGCCTCCAGAACGGTGTCGACAGCTATGTGGGTGTTGCGGAGCTGTTCGGGGCAGAGCGAGTAATGCCCGGAGCCGTGTACATCGAGGCCGGGACCGAGGGCCCCGGAGTGGTCCGGCAGGCTGGCGACGTCGTCCGGGTGGTGTTCGGTGAGCCCGACGGATCCCTTTCCGAGCGCGGGCGGACCATAGAGGCCGCGCTCCGGTCGAGCGGCATCCCTGCGGAGTTGACGGCTGACATACGCACGGGCCTCTGGTCGAAGTTCCTGTTCATCGCCACCATGGCCGGGACCACCGCCATGGCGCGGGAGAGGCTTGCCGAGCTGATGCCCCGGCCCGAATGGCAGGAAGTGGTGGTGGCTTGCTTGAAGGAGATTGAAGCGGCGGGTCGCTCCAATGGCGTCGACTTCCCGCCAGACATCCACGAGACGACTCTGGCCTACATTCAAGAGAACCTGGATGACCTGCAGGCTTCCATGCACACCGACGTGATGGCGGAGAGGCCGCTGGAGCTGGAAACGTTCACCGGCGCAGTGGTGCGAGCCGGCCGGGCTGGCGGGGTGCCGACGCCCATAAACGATGTCATATACGCCATGCTGAAGCCTCTGGTGGACGGCACGGCGCCTTGATTCTCGCACCACAGGGCAGGGTCCTGGTGCCGTGTGGCATCCGCTGGCAAGCCCTTCCGTATCAATAAATGCCGGACTTTTGACACTGCCCATTGAGGCCCTTAGCATAGGCGGGCAAACGAGCTCATTCTCTGCTTGGGCAGGAGGCGAATCCCTATGGAAGCAAGCATGGTTTCTCACATTGCGATCTGCGTCCGCGACGTGGACCGCTCCCTTGGTTTCTACCGCGACATCCTCGGGATGACGGTCGACTTCGACCAGGTGCAGGACACCACTTCCGGTGGCCTCCCCAGCATCTACCAGCACTCCCGCAAGACCCGCCGCACCACCCACGTCCGCTACGGGCCCGGCAACACCGCCCCGTCGCTGGTCCTCACCTGCCACCCCGGCGAAGACCCGGACGGCGGCCCCATCAAGCTCGACCAGGTCGCATCAGCCACATCTCCTTTACCGTGCCTGATGTTAAGGCGCTGGCCGATGAGCTGGTCAGCAAGGGCGTCGAGCTGGCCGCGCCCCTCGAGGCGTTCACCGCTCCCGACGGCCGGGTCAGCAGCATCTTCGTCTACGACCCCGACGGCATCCTCGTCCAGTTCGACGACCACGGTTAACCGTCGCTGACGCTGCGTGAGAACCCTTGGAGGAGGGCGCACCAATGTCTGAAGCCAGTGATCAGCAGATGAGCCACGCCGACCGCCACGACCTCGACAAACTGGCTCGGTGGAAGGACGGGTTGGATGCCGCTGACGTTGAGGCCGAGGCCTTCCCGGCTTGCGCCATCTTCCTAGTGTCTCCCGATGACCGCTTGTCCCACGACATCTTCCGTCGCTACCGCACCGTGTTCGAGGAACTGGGAGGCGGGTTCCACCATCTGGTGATATTCGGACAGCACGGCGTTTCCACTACGCAGGTCGCCTTCCTGGACGAGGTGGGCTTCGTCCAGCAGAACGTGCCGCTGCTGGCCATCGCGCCAATGTCGAGTGGGCTGGAGTCCGTGTACTGCGTAGAGCTGCCCAAGGGAGATCGGGACGGCGAACTGGACGACAGCCAGACCTGGGGTCCCGTTCTGGAATCCCTGCGCGCCTCCGCCTCCAATGCGTCGCCCCTGGCGCTGAGCGACGTGGAAGGCGTGTCCACGGCAACGTTCCGGCGCGGCTCCCTCACCGGCGCGGTCGATGAGGTCTTGACCAAGCTTGGCGGATGAAGCAAAGGGTCGCACAACCCTGCGCCCCTGCTCACCCCGGAGCGTCCCCGACCGGTGCCGTTCGACGTTACATCGCCGCGTTGACGATCGCCCAGGCGCCCCATCCCACCATCAGCACGCCGGTGGCCCGGCTTACCCATTCGCCCTTCGGCGCGACCTTCTCCGCCAGCACAAAGGCCGCCAGCGCGGCGATCCAGACCAGGTTCATGATGCCTAGCACGAACAGCAGCAGCATCAGCGCCCAGCAGCAGCCCAGGCAGTAGGCTCCGTGCTCCAGGCCCATGCGCAACGCCCCCCGGGGACCGTCCCGCCACGACGTCATCAGGAACCCCATGGGCGTTCGGCACTGCGTGAGGCAGGCGTACTTCAGGGGACTCCACTGGAACACCCCGGCTACCAGCAGCAGCGCCCCGCCCAGGTAGCCACTGGTGGACGCTCCCATCATCGACGACAGCAGCGACGCCTGGTGCAGGCCCCAGTTGCCCGTTGTAGCCGCGAGGGAGAAGGCAGCCCAGACGATGACGTACCCCGCCAGGAACACCCCAGTCGGCACGTAGGGCGCCTCCCGCTCCCGCCGCTTGCGGTTGACGGCGGCGAACATCAGCAGCATGGGGCCGGCGGACGGCCGCCATCATGGCGATCATCATCACCAGCCACATCACATACATCAGGCCAAAGTCCGCCCCGCTCCACGATCGCATATCGGCCATGGCCATACCCATGCCCGTTTGCATGTCGCCCATGCCCATGCCAGTCTCGGCCAGATACACAGTGTAGGCCCAGGCGATGGCCGCGATTATGATGATGGCGGCGATGACCACGACCCGGTCTCTGCGAAGCGCATGTTCCAGGGGAGAGGCGGTCGTATTGGCTGCGGTTTGAGGCTGATCGGACATCATTTCGGGGCTCCTGATCGTGCCGTCAGCTATAGGGTCTTATAGGGTCTGACTCTAACTTACAGCTTGACCCTATGTCGAGGGATGCTATAATTCACGCCGCAGGAGGTGGGCAATTTGGAAGCATTTGATTTCGTAGCTGCGAAGAGTATCGACGAAGCGGTTTCGATACTTAATGAGCATGGCGATAGGGCCAGGATAATTGCTGGCGGCACCGACATATTGGTAATGATGCGTGCGGGCCGGCGGTTGGCCGATGTAGTCATTGACGTCAAGGATATTCCCGAACTTAGTAATATGAGCTACTCAGCGGGCGGCGGTCTTAACTTGGGCGCCGCTGTGCCCTGCTACCAGATTTACCAGGATGCCGCCATCTCAGCGGCATATCCCGGCTTGGTCGACTCGGCTACGCTCATCGGTGGCATCCAGATCCAGGGCCGGGCCAGCATCGGCGGAAATGTCTGTAACGCCGCTCCCAGTGGCGATTCCATTCCCGCGGTCATCGCTCTCGGCGGGGTCTGCAACATCGCCGGTCCCAACGGCACTCGCCAGCTGGCGACTGAGGAGTTCTGCACCGCGCCCGGCCAGAATGCGCTGCAGCGGGGCGAGATGCTGGTCTCCATCGACTTTCCGGCTCCCGCGCCTAATTCCGGCGCGAACTACCAGCGGTTCATTCCCCGCAACGAGATGGACATCGCCGTCGCGGGCGTAGGCAGTTCGGTGGTCTTGGACGCCTCGGGCCAGAACTTTGTCTCCGGTCGCGTCGCGCTGGCTTCGGTAGCGCCGACTCCGGTGTTCTCGAAGGCCGCCGGCGACAGCTTGGCAGGCAAGCCGGTCTCCGACGAAGCGATTCGCGCGGCCTCAGAGTTGGCAATGGCCGACGCCAAACCCATCAACGACATGCGCGGTACCATTCGCCAGCGGATTCACCTCATCGGCGTGCTGACGCGCCGCACTCTCAATATCGCCGTAGAGCGGGCCAGGGGAGGCTAAAGCATGCCCGGAGTTGTTCACGTACAGGCAAAAATAAACGGCGAGGACACCAACTTCCTGTGTGAGCCTCGCCAGAGCTTGCTCGAAGTGCTGAGGGACGTCCTCGGCATGACCGGCACGAAAGAGGGATGCAACGACGGAAACTGCGGCGCATGCACAGTGATGCTGGATGGCCGCATCGTCGACTCCTGCCTGGTGCTGGGTGTCGAGGTCGCGGGCCGCGACGTCCAGACCATCGAGGGCATGGCATCGCCCGGTGGACTGCACCCCCTCCAGCAGTCGTTCCTTGAGAACGCCGCCCTCCAGTGCGGTATCTGCACCCCCGGCTTCTTGATAGCCTCCCGCTCTCTGCTGGAAGCAGAACCGGATGCCGACGAGGGCCGTATCCGCCACTGGCTGGCAGGCAACCTCTGCCGCTGCACCGGCTACGACAAGATCGTGCGTGCTGTGCTCCAGGTCAGCACCACCTCCAACAAGTAGTCGAACCAGGTCCTGGGGATCATACAGGTAAACAGAAAGGCGGCCCCGCGAGGAGCCGCCTTTCCGGTATAACGGCCCATGCGCCTCCGGCCGTAAGAGGGCATTTTACGATCACATTACTAGAGGTGGACGAGCAGTGACTTCTTCCAATCAAGTTCTATCCGAAGTGGATTACAACATCGTCGGTAAGCGCCCGATACGTCCCGACGGCGTCGACAAGGTCACCGGGCGCGCGCAATATGGCGCCGACGTGAAGCTGACGGGGCTGCTGGCGGCGAGGGTCCTACGGAGTCCTCACCCCCATGCCCGCATCCGCTCCATCGACACCAGCAAGGCTGAGGCGCTGCCGGGAGTCAGGGCGGTCATCACCGCCAGGGACCTGCCTTTTGCTTCGCTGAGCAAGGAGGAGCTGGGGGGAGACTACGGGCGGCTGAAGTTCGCCTCCGACCATATGATGGCCAGCGACAAGGCCCTGTTCAAGGGGCATCCTGTGGCTGCCGTGGCCGCGGTCAACACCCACGTGGCCGAATCGGCTCTGGCACTGATCGAGGTCGATTACGAGGTCCTGCAGGCCGTAGTCGATGTCCGCGAGGCCATGAAGGACGGCGCCCCGCTGCTGCACGAGGAGCTCCGCACCTCCGCTATGGGCGAGATTGCCGACAAGCCCAGCAACGTGGCAGCGCATCTCAGCTACGAAAAGGGGAGTGCCAGGAGGGCTTTGCCGAGGCCGACGTTGTGATCGAGCGGGAGTGTTGAACACTGCCTCAGTGCACACAGGGTTACATCGAGCCGCACAACTCCACAGCCTTCTGGAACGCTGACGGACAGCTGAACGTCTGGACCAGCACCCAGGGCTCCTTCGCCGTCAGGGCTGCGGTGGCCGACGTGCTGCGGATGCCTGTGTCCCGGTCAAGGTCACTCCATGGAGATCGGTGGCGGCTTCGGAGGAAGATCACTGCATACTTGGACGCCATTACCGCCCTGCTTTCCAGAAAGGCTGGCGCTCCGGTTAAGCAGGCCATGACTCGTTCCGAGGTATATTGAGGCTTCCGGCCCGGCCCCTGGTTCCTGATGAGAGTCAAGGTTGGTGCCAAGAACGACGGTAAGTTGACCGCCGTGGAACTGGAAGTGGCCATGGATGCCGGCGCCTATCCCGGCTCGCCGGTTATGCAGGCCATGACCTGCGCCTTCGCCTGTTACGACGTGGAGAACGGCAAGGTCGACGGATACGATGTGGTGGTCAACAAGCCCAAGACCTCCGCCTATCGCGCCCCGGGCTCGCCCCAGGCCGCCTTCGGTGTGGAGACAGTGATGGACGAGTTGTGCCAGCAGCTCGGCATTGATCCCATCGAATTCCGCCTGCTCAACGCGGCCAAAGAAGGCACTCGCCGCATCGAGGGACCGGTCGCCCGCCGTATCGGCCTGGTGGAGTGCCTGGAGGCCGCCCGGGACCACGCCCACTACAAGGCCTCTGTGGAAGGCGAAAACCGCGGGCGTGGAGTGGCCGCAGGCTTCTGGATGAACCGTGGATTCCAGTCCAGCTGCGTCATCACCGTCAACTTCGATGGTACTATCAGCTTGATTATGGGCTCGGTGGACATCGGCGGCACCCGCGCCTCCATAGCCCAGCAGGCCGCCGAGACCTTGGGCATCGCTTACGAAGATGTAAAGCCGACGGTGGTGGACACCGATTCTATCGGCTTCACCATGGTTACTGGTGGCAGCCGCACCTCCTTCGCCACCGGCATTGCCGCCATCGAGGCCGCAGAGTCGGTGAAGGCTCAGATGGTGGCCCGTGCCGCCAAGATCTGGGACACCTCCGAAGATGACGTCGAATATGTCGATGGAGTAGTGCGCCACAAGTCCGACCCTGAGCTCCGGCTGGGCTTCAAGGACTTGGCCCGTCAACTGGCCGGCACCGGCGGAACCATTGCCGGACAGGCCAACGTCGACCCGCCTGGTGAGGGTAATTCCTACGCCGTTCACATCGCCGACGTAGAGGTCGACCCTGACACGGGGAAGACCGAGGTGACCCGCTTCACCGCTATACAGGATGTCGGTAAAGCAGTACATCCCAGCTACGTTGAAGGTCAGATTCAGGGCGGTGTTGTCCAGGGGATTGGTTGGGCGCTGAACGAGGAGTATTTCTTCGACAACAACGGCCGAATGATGAACCCGACTTTCCTGGACTACCGCATGCCCACATCACTGGACCTGCCGATGATCGACACGGTCATCGTCGAGGTCGCCAACGCCGGCCATCCCTACGGAGTGCGTGGCGTGGGCGAGGTGCCCATCGTGCCTCCCATGGCCGCCGTTGCCAACGGCATTCACGGGGCCACCGGTCTCCGCCTCCGCAGCCTGCCCATGACTCCGGGCAAAGTCCTAGAAGCAGAGTGGGAGCGGAACGGGGACTAACCCCCGGCCCTGGTAGCGTTCCCATTCAGGTGATTGCCAATAGCAGGGGCGGGTTTCAAATCCGCCCCTTTTCGATTCGTGTAAGACCTTGTGTTGTCCTCTCTGGGGCCTTCCAGCGGGCGAGCCGCGCGAGGCTCAACTTTATAGCGATGGTAATTCGCGGTCGAATTCACCGCCCCGCTTTACTCGCGGCGCGGGGTTGAATCGATTGCCGAGGAACAGTAATCTGAATTTTGGCAGGTGTGTCCCGCCCAAAATGATGGGTTCAGGCGCATTGTTTGCCCAGGAGGGTGGACGTGGCGAAGGTATTCATACCGACGATGCTGCAGCCGCTGACCGGCGGCGTCAAACAGACCGAGTGCCAGGGCCGCAATGTGCGCCAGATCATTGAGGCGCTAGAGGCACAATACCCCGGGATCAAGGCGCGTCTGGTAGAGGACGATGAAATTCGCTCCAAACCTGGCCGTTGCAATCGACGGAGACGTGGCGCGGATGGGAATGCTGGAACGTGTCAGCGAGGGTAGCGAAGTCCATTTCGTTCCGGCAATCGGAGGCGGGTGAACCCCCAGGACAGCTTTTCAAATCAGGTGGTTTGACGCCGGTGCAGCCGTCATTCTCGCGAAAGCGGGAATCCCAGGTTACGTGCTTGCTGTCTGGGGAATGTAAGACGACCACCTGGTTCGGAACATCATCCCCTGACCAGGGCCATCGCATTTGGATAATTTGATGACATTTGCCGCTTGCCAAGCCTTGAGACGCCTCCGTACCATGCCTTCGTATGCATTCTGGCTTCTACAGTGCCCCAGTGTATTCCAAGCCGACGACACGGCCGCCAGGTCATCCGCAGACAGGCCGGAAAGGCCAGTGGGACAAAATGGGACGGGAATCAAAAATTTCTGTCCCACCGGGCGCGATTCAGATAGGAAATAACGAAAAATTTGCGCCAAAGTGGGACGAAACGGGACAAAATGGGACAGGGGTGGGAAATTCCTGTCCCATTCCTGATCTAGTGAAAACATCGCATTCAGCTCCGCAGATCGGCTCCCTCAGATAGTTGCATTTCATCCCCTGTGCGGCCACGGAATCTCTCCGGCCAAATGCGAAAGCCCTGATCCCCTGACACTCACACCTTTCAAATCAGGTTACGCTCCCATACAATCAAACATACGTTCTTGAAATCATCTCGTTTTAGCTTGCAACTCCACCATCCGCCGAAATCCGAAAATGCCATGACTAGAGAGAGTGAATTCAGAATTTTCATTTTGGCGCCCGCTGTCGTGGCATCCCCCTCCAGGGCGCCCTGCGCGCAGGGTAGCGCCCATTATTGAGACCCAGGTTCGTGGAAAACTGCACAGAAATGCACATAGATGCCCACTCTTGTTTGGGGTGCCTGTCCGGAGTCATCCAGTGTTGAGACTCCCCCCTTGGCGCCTTGTCAAAGCAGGTCCTGCCCTCGGATTGGTTCAAGGCCAGGGCACACGGATGGTGAATTTGGCGCCCTGAGGCAACGCATGACAAAGTGGCAACACCCCGAGACTATTCGACCACCCTGAATCGCAACCCTGCTCGGTCACAACCCTCGATTGACTGGCCCAAACGGGGCCGCTTACAATGGCTGACAGTTGCTATTGGCGCGCCCATCGAAATTCGGGCGCTTTTATTTCAGCGCGACTCACGGGCGGAGATGGCAGATAAAGAGACTTCCAGGGTGGAAAGACTGGTTTCCTCAGGCGGTGTGGTTTTCCGCCATAACCACGGGCGGCTCGAAACGGTATTGTGTGGGCGTTCAGACCCGGTGCGCTGGAGTCTCGCCAAGGGCACACCCGATCCCGGCGAGACCCTGGAGGAAACCGCCTTGAGAGAGGTGCGGGAGGAGACCGGGCTGGAGGTCGAGTTGCGGGACCCGCTCGGCAGCATCGAGTACTGGTTCGCTGATCGGGATCACGATGTTCGTTATCATAAGACGGTGCATTTTTATTTGATGTCGCCGGTTGGCGGCCACATAGACCAGCACGATCCTGAGTTTGATGTCGTGCAATGGTTCGATGTTGACGAGGCTCTTTCTTCCATGGCCTACGGAAACGAGGCCGGTGTACTGCGGCGGGCCCTCGATCTCATTAAGTCAAGACAAGGTTAGGCCAAAGATGGTTGAGCTCCAGGGCGCCAAGGTAATTCTCCGGGAAAAGCGCGTCGAGGACGCCGAATTCGACTATCGCTGGCGCAGCGACCCGGAAATCGCAAGGCTTGACGCCGCCTTCCCTCTGAGCATGTCTTACGAGCGCTATCTTCGGTTGTTCCAGGACCAGTTGCGCTACCCCACTCCCGGTTCCCACCACTTCGGCGCCGACGCAACCGATGGCACCTACATCGGCAACTGCATGTATTACGACCTCGACAGCATAAACAAAGAGGCCGAGCTGGGCATTGTAATCGGGGACCGCAACTACTGGAGCAATTCGTACGGTTACGACGCAGTGACCACTCTGCTCAACCACATGTTCGCGGACTTGCATCTCAACCGTGTGTACCTGCATACCCTGGACTGGAATGAGCGAGCACAGCGTTGTTTCTCCAAGTCAGGATTCAGGCCGGTGCGAACGGTCCGGCGCATGTCTCAGGACTTCATCTTGATGGAAGTGCTTAGACATGACTGGCTGGAGACCGGCGAGGAGCGGCTCGCTGCAAGGTTCAGGGGGATGGAGTCGGCTGCCAATGGCAGTGGCAACGTTCCGGAGGCAGTCGGTAGCGAACACTCCGAAATCATGGAAGAAGTCGACCCCCCGCAGGCCAGGCGCCGCTCGGTGTTCCCGCAGTCCGGTCCGGACTAGCCTCTCGCTACCGCGGACACGGCCTCGGCCAAGTCCACTGCTCCAGTGTAAAGAGCCCTCCCGACGATCACGCCTTCCACGCCCGTAGGAACCAGCCTGCGCACATCCTCGACCGACGAAACTCCACCGGAGGCGAGGATTGCCATATCGGTCTCCTTAACGAGACTCGCGTTGGTATCCAGATCGGGGCCGGCAAGCATGCCATCGCGGGCGATGTCGGTGTAGAGCAGCCGGCCTACCCCGAGGTCAGTCATCCGGTGCGCCAGTTCCAGCACGTTGACCTCGCTGGCTTCCGTCCATCCCTGCAGGGCCACCATACCGTCGCGGGCGTCCACCGATACCACCACCCGCTCGCTGCCGTGATTCCGACAGACTGCCGCCACCATGTTGGGGTTGCGCACCGCCGCCGTGCCAATGACCACCCGGTCCACGCCAGCGTCCAGCCAGGCCCGCGCCGTGTCCGCGCTGCGAATCCCTCCGCCCACTTGCACCGGAATGTCCAACGCGGAGACGATGGCCGAAATGACCTCAAGGTGTGCTGGCTCTCCGGTGGCTGCGCCGTCCAGGTCCACGACGTGCAGCCGTGGTCCGCCCTCGGCTTGCCACCGCCGGGCCATCGCCAGGGGATCGTCTGAGAACACCGTTTCCCGCCCAAAGTCCCCTTGGTGCAACCGGACGCATCTCCCGCCGCGCAGGTCAATGGCAGGAATGATTTCCATCATCTATCAGAGGTCGTTTAGCCTTAGGATGTCTTCTGGTCGAATAGGGCTGGAGCGAAGTCGGAACGCACAACGAGGTCAGGTCATCAGTAGCCGCCGGCCGCCATTGCTACGAAGTTCCGGTAGATGCGCAGACCCACGGGACCGCTCTTCTCCGGGTGGAACTGCGTGGCCACAACGTTGTCCTTGGCGTAGGCGCTACAGAATGGCAGGCCATATTCAGTGGTACCGACGACGCCTTCCCTATCCTGGGGGTCTGCATAGAAACTGTGTACGAAGTAGAAGTAGCTGCCAGATTCGATGCCGCAGAAGGCCGGGTGCTCTTGACTCAAAGCCACGCTGTTCCAACCCATGTGGGGGATCTTCAGCGACTTGTCGTTCTGCTCGTCGGGCAGGCGAATCACCTGTCCTGGTACGATGCCCAAGCAGGACGCCCCGGGTTCCTCGGCTGTCCAATCGAGCAATAGCTGCAGGCCCAGGCAGATGCCGAGAAACGGGCGGCCGCTGGCGGTGAAGTCCCGCAATGGCTGCACCAAACCACGTTCGTTCAGGGCATTCATCGCGGACGGCCCTGCGCCAACCCCAGGCAGCACTACCGCGTCGGCCTCCGCCAACTCGTCTGGATCGCAGGTAACCAGGGGCGCAACGCCGCAGGTCTCCAGCGCGCGGGAGACGCTGCGCAGGTTGCCCGACTCGTAGTCAACAACGACCAGTTTCATCGGTGGATTGCCCTACGTCCGCTGTCCGGTAGCGCGTTCGATGGGCAAGTCGCGGTCTTCGTAGCGCGCCACCACGAACAGCAGGTCGCCGAGGCGGTTCAAATACGACACCAGCAACTCGTTGGTCAGCAGCCCGACCTCACCCATGGCCACCACGCGCCGCTCGGCGGTACGCACAATGCAGCGGGCCAGGTCCATTGCTGCCGATGCGGGGGAGCCACCGGGCAGGATGAACACCGTGGGCATAGTCATATCTTCCTCGAGCGAGTCGATGGCGTTTTCCAGATTTTCGACCATCTCGGGAGTCACGGGCGAGAAATGCTGCTGGAACAACTCGTACTTGTCCGGGTCGGTGGCCAACTCGGCGGCGACAGTGAACAGCTCGCTCTGGAGGTTGCGCAACAGCTCCTTCACCCGGTCGTCGCTGGACATGGCGCGGGCCATACCCATTGCGGAGACTGCCTCATCGGTAACGCCATAGGCCTCGGTGTGAGGGTTGTTCTTGGAAATCCGGCCGCCATACAGCAGGCTGGTTTCTCCCTTGTCCCCGAACTTAGTATAGACCCGTTTGCGGTATTCCCCGGAATTCGAAGAGGACACAGGCGTCACCTTCCACTACAGGCTCGATTTCCATGGCTTTCACGTATAAGAAACTATCTCAAAATGCACCGGATTTTGTTTAAATCCCACCGATTGTTAAGCGAGGCCCAGGATTCCCGCTCTCCGCTGTCGCGATGAAATGCTATACGGGAATGACGAATGGGGTGTCTTGCCTTGTCTTGCCTTGCCTTTGGATAGTTTCTAAGTCGCCGGTCGATTTTAGCATACTGAGAGGTGGATTCCGCCGGGACACTACAATCGGGCAGCGCTCTGCTTCAGGCGGTCGAACCTGCATTTCGGCAGTTGGTCATGATTTTGCCATCATTGGGTCATGGCCTTGGGTTCTCGCCCTGCCTCCGCGAAGATGTGACCCTTTCCCGATTGAGTCGAAGGTAGGCTTTCCCCTCGAATTAGGCCGGCGGCCATTCTTACGCAGCTTATCGCCGGGGTGCCGGAGCCAGGGTTACGGGCGAGTATTGGAGTTAAAGACGTGTGGAGGGGGTCAAATGTGTGCAAGTATGTGCAAATTTTGTAACTCTTCAGCTGGGCGTTCGGCCCAACAGCGCCTCGGTTGTCGCCGGAGGGTCGGCGCCGACGCGACGAGTTGGGTGGCCCGGCGGTCCTGTCCCCAATAGATCTAGGGCTGGCGCTGCGCTGTGATGAAGCGCGCCGGAGGCAAAGTCGGGGTAGTCGGCCATTGTTGCACTAGGTGCGTTGGTCGCGGTGTTGGGGTCGCGGGACTTCGAGTCTGCCATTCAATGGTAGGGTGATGTCATGACGCTTGGCAAGGAGCTTCTGTCAGGAGATAGGGCGACCTGCGGAGAAGAGAAATTGGGTTGGGCATCCCGGCTTGCTGGATTAGCGGCCCCATATATTCTGCGAGGAAATGCCTCACGCTTACAACGGACCACCAGCCCGTTAACCACCTGAATTGGGACGTCTCCTTTCGGTCGGCGGCTGTCGAGGGGACACAAGCGCCCTTGCGGTCGAATGGGGATATAATTGGAAATGGATCAACTGCGAGGTGAGTCGCCATGCTAAATGAAGTTCGCATATTGGTGTCGGGGGATGCCGAGTTCGCGGCGGCGGCCCTGGAGATGACCTGCTGGACTGATGCTCGACGCGGCCGCCGCCAGGCACCCCATTGAAGCGGGCGACATCCGTGGTGGTCACTCAGAGGTCATATCCAGGTCGACGGCAAGGATGACCTTCGTAGGCGTTGAGCCCTCGGCGTCGGTGCTCATCACCATCACAGAGGGCCACCGCCGTGCGACCCTCTGGCCGAGCTGACCGAGATGATCCTGCGCGAGAGTCCGTTCGTATCGCGTGCGAATGGACCGTGTGTGATCATCGCGGAGACGAAGCACGGCTTCTCATCTACTGGGTTTGGCAAACGCAGGGGATAGCCGCCTCCAACATACCACCCGGCAAACAACACACCCTTGGCTGCTCTCCCGCACAGATGCGGATGTCATCGTCGCCGCAGAGCATCGCGAAGACCGTGCGACGGCGCGGGTGTGGACGTGGCCGTCAGGATCGTCTCCGACACCTCGGTGCTGTGTTTCCGTGGCGTTAAAACGGTGCTGCCGCAACGTGTGCCAAGCTGGCGTGGCCGGATGGACCCTGCTGGCAGTGATTACGTGCAGCGCCCTGGACGCCCACGCAAGCGTGCTCCATACCACCCAGATCGCCGTCGCCGACGAACTGGCGCCGCAGCCGACTCGTGACCGGGCAAGGCCCTGGCAGTCCGTGACCATCATCCGGACTATGAGTCAGATGACCTGGAGGGCGCACCAGCCAGCGCCTGCTCCGCACCGGATGAACGAGACTTCTGTTCCGGTAAAGACAGGACCTTGTCGTTTGTGCGAGACAACGCTCATGCTTGTGGTGCTCTCTCCGTCTGCCGGAGCCCATGCCATGCCATAGGCGCGGAAGTCTCCTCAATTGACAGCGGGAGCTGACGTATTTCTCGTCGGTTCGGCCAGTTGCTCACAAAGTCCCACTCCCAGCCGGCGGCATGTGCGCCCGGTGTGAGCTCGGCGGACAAGACAGTCTGCCACGACCATGCTCCATGAATGCGCGGTTCGTTTGAGGGGTGACGGGAGAGTGGACTGCCTGAGTGAAAGTGGGTGAAGTCCGCCGCCGCACGCGTCACGGTTACTGTTCTTCCCTGCAGCCCTTCCGCTCAGGCTGCCGGCCACCCACCGCCTGCCAACTCCTCCAGTACCGCCGCATACTTCCTCCGTGTCGCCGAGTGTCGTCGGACGTTGGTTTCGGAGGACACACCGATTTGTGATGCGCTCGGTGTTTACGGCCTCGTCGTCCAGCCCTATGGACCGCGCGAGTCGCACGCTATTGGCACGCTGAACGCGAGACATGCGCGTCGAACCACTCGGGCGGGCTGCTCCGCCGTGCGCCATTGTTTTTTCGAACCTCCTCAGCCGGGGTTCAGACGGCTCGTCGGCGGGCGCACGGCCGGACCCACCGCCCCCCGCCTAGCCGACGCCACCCCCAGCGCAGGGGGGGGGGGGGGGGGGGGGGGGGGGAGGGGGGGTAGGATTCACCGACCGGATCTGTTCATGTACATTCCGCCGCATTTCTGTGTTTCGTTATGCTTCTCCTTCGCTGCCTGCCATCCTTGCCCCCGCCTCCTTTTCGACTTTTTTTTTCTGCCCTTAATCCGCTTCTGTCCGGCTTTTCTCTCCCTGCCTTCTGTCACTCTTTTGTATTTATCCTCTCTTTTTTTTGCCCCACCATCGCTTCTCTTTCATCCCGTTTCCCTTTACCCTCGG